GAACCCGGTCCCTACACCCTGGGCAGCGCCGAGCCTCACTTATCCCGACGTGCCACTGATTCCTCCACTCCTGGGCCTTCACATGAAGAAACGAGATGTGCCAGCCTGGAAGGAAGCCCAGTTTAATGCTATTTTCCTCCGTGCCAAATCCTCTTATCTCTATGGCCACCACGGAAGAGAGATTAGCCTTTTGTCCCACTTCTCCCCGGCTACACGTCTTGCGTTTCAGAGGCAGCAGAGGACCCATGGCCAGGTACTGAATTATGAGAGTGTTTACTAATTAATTGATTAATTTTTATGCACCTCTCCTTCCTTAAGGGAGTCGGAGGCAGAGCAGCACCTGGATGTCCATCTCCTTCGGCTGATGAGACAACAAAGGTTTTGAGTCCAAGACAAATCCAAAACCAAACTTGGGACGTGGGGGTCCACGCTAAGCTCATAAGGACATTACGGCCAACTTGCCTGGGGCAGAAGAAAACAGATTTGGGGCGGCAGCAGCTGCCTACAAGGGCCTGAACGAGACATTTAAGGGGAGACAGAAGGACTCCGCAGGAAGCCACTGTGCTGCTGGAGCTCTGCCGAGGGCAACATCGCTGCAGCAACAAAAGTGCCTGTTTCTCGATGGTCTTCAAAGCCCTCCCAGGACTCTGCCCTGACCGGGAGAAACCCGACGGACCTCGGGCTGCTCCCCATCCCCGCACCCAGAGCAAAGCCCTGCTGTTGGTGACTTACCCGTGTCGGGGTGTGCAGGCGCTTCTGAGCTGGGGCTGCTCGTCCCTTCCCCTTCCAGGATGGACCTTTCCCGCTTCTCCTTCTCTGCAAAAGAAGGAAACCCTGTCACTGCCTGCAGAGCGCTTCCCTGCAAGCTTTTAGGGAAGGAGGGACAGTGGGGACAGCTAGGATGGGCTCCCGGGTCTCCTCAGCCCACAGCAGCCCAGGCTCTGTGTGTGCTTTACAATCTGTAGAAGGTCAAAGCAAAAATCCCAGTGGCAGCAGGGCTCTGAGGTACCACAGGCAAGCACCAGGTCCTTCCCACTCCTCCTGCAAGAAAGGAGCGCAGCCAAACTTTGGCTGGATTTACAAGGCTGTTGAGAGAAACCTGAAAGATGCCTTAAATCACACCAAAGGTTGGATCAACCTTAACAGCAGCCTGGAAATCTGGAGGGTGAGGGGAAAAGGCACTTGAAAGCTGGAAAAAAAACCCAATGTCATCCCTTGAACTTTTGGGTGAAGAGTAGGAAGAGGGGGAAGAAAAACCTCACCTTCCTTAGCCGCTTGCCAGAGCTCAAAGGCGATTTTGAAGGCCTGGGCTACGGTGAGGGTGACCGCTTGCGCCTGGAAAGACAGCGGTGAGGCAGCACGTTAATCGACGGCTCCTCGCGTAGATTTAGATCATTTGGAGGCTTTGCTTTGCAGATTTGTGTATCCGATCAGTCCTCTGCTCCGCACACTCCCCGCCCGGCTGGGGACGGGTAATCAAACACCGATGGAAGAAGAGACTTGCTCCGTGTCTGTCTCACAGCAGACACATCTTCAGCTGTGGCGGGAGGATGGAGGAGGCAGGGACACGGCTGTCACAGCCATCGCGCTGACGCACGGGGAGAGAAGAACTGCTCCTGACCACGGGGCTCTACTACACCCCACACCGAGGTGTGATCTAAACAAGCACAAGTGCTGCACCGCCCCGGGG